ATTTTCCCGCGGCGTTGCCGATTCGCATTCGATTTTCAATCTTACACAATTTCGTCAGACGTTTCGCCTAAGAGGGTGGAAAATGTTGACATAATGCGGCAATGCCGCCGTCGGTGTGCGGTTCCCTATCGTTCAGTTTCACAACCTGCCCTCTTAAAAGTAGTCCGCAATACTAAAATTGACCTTAACACCCTTTTTTGCTTCTGGTATTTTTAGTAGAATTCTGATAGTGTCATTTGAACGCGCTTCGCACCCCGTTGTTTTTTTAACTAGAAGTGTTTGGATAATTTAAATAAACCGCATGCTTCATGTAAGTAGTGGGTACGTCAATACGCGAACAACTCTAAGACAAATTTCATAAACTCTACTGTTACGTTGGCGATGCTGCAATGTACAAAACCAGAAAGCACGTTCCCTTTATTGCCATGATTTAGGCAGCCACCTTCATCCACTTCGCCCACCGCACACTTGCTTAAGGCGTATTTAAATCCCCAAATCTACGAGATGGCATGGGGTTATTGGAGTGCTACCGCAGTTTCCTCGACGGACCGCGGCCGAAGTCCCAGAAGGAATCAGAACGGAACAACATCAACAAGCAATTATCCCTCGGCGTCGACGACGGTTCCAGCATCAATAGAAGAACGACCATCAGTCAGCACCCAAAATTCGAACTCGAACTCTAGCAACAGCCAGACGTCCGAATTTGACAACGCGCCAAGTTTCTCCAGAAGGCCGTCCTTGGATTTGGGTCACATGGGACCGCAAGGTGCCCTGGCTAATATATTATGTGCCGCTCACGGCAGCCGTCAGCAAAGCGGAACTCTGTCGGCGGGAAATACCTTAACACGTTTAGGGAGTAGACACGCGGCCACCAGCGGGGTCGAGTACGCCGTTCCCCATCACTTCCATCACCATCATCACCATGCGGCCTACGTTGAGTATCATCAGACTCAGCTGTCTTTCTCAGATGACGACTCGAGCTCCGAGCCCGGTTACGCTACAGGTATGAATTATCTATTATAATGGAATGACGTTAACCCATTTACAACCGTTGACCTAATTTCAGCCGCAAACTTCGTCATTTTCTGAACAATACCTATTCATGCTTCCCTAGCAGTCATTATCACTTTTTTTACCCCCAGGATATTTCTACCTGCACTAAAACGGTATCAATGAAGCTTTATATCTAGATATTTGTGCACAAATTACCATGAACTAAATGCCGATCATGTGTAATAAACGGCTCTAAATCGGGTCGGTTAAGTTGGCCCCCCCCATTAAACATTTCGTTATGATATTACCATGTAATAATGCGCTCGATATGCGCTCAAACGCGCCGCTGAAAGTAATTTTTGCGCTGTTAAAGTTTTTGAGATATTTTGAAAAACATTTGGGGGGGTTCAAGTTCACGCAGCCCCCCCCCCATTATGCAATTTGGTATATCTGATGATTCCAAATTGTGCCTGTAGTTATGCGCTAAACTGCGCCACTGGATTAACATTTTGCGCCACTACCGTATGGCCATAACGAAAGACAGAAGGTGGGTGGGGCTAAATTGATGGTTTTAAAAAAGTGCACTTTCTTAAAGATTCTTAGTGCTATATGTTCCCTTTAGTTATGCGCTCAAATGCGCCGCTGAAACTAACTTTTGCGCTGTTATAGTTTTTGAGATATTTTGAAAAACATTTGGGGGGGTTCAAGTTCACGCAGCCCCCCCATTAAGCAATTCGGTATTACTGGTGATGCCAACTTATGCCTGTAGTTATGCGCTAAACTGCGCCACTGGATTAACATTTTGCGCCACTCCCGTATAGCCATAACGAAAGACAGAAGGTGGGTGGGACTAAATTGATGGTTTTAAAAAAGTGCACTTTCTTAAACATTTTTAGTGCTATATGTTCCCTTTAGTTATGCGCTCAAATGCGCCGCTGAAAGTAACCTTTGCGCCGTTTAAGCTAAACAAGTTAAAAAGTAATCGTAAACGATTTACATGAAGCGCATTTCCACTTGCATTCATTTCCCATTTGTAAGATGCAACTTCTATAAAATCGTAAAAATCCGGCCACAAATATGAAAGATAGCGTTGCACATGGGCAATCCATTTTTGTCGTGCTACTTCAATGTCAGTTTATGACAAGAATTTCATTTCGATGCTTTTCTAAATAAGAAAGTTGGAACTGGGCATGCGCAAACCTAAATTTTGAAACTAATGTTAGATTTTCCTTTGTTCCAAGCGCCTAAATATCAAATTTCACTTAAATGCTTCCATAGATAAAAAAGTTGGCACTGCGCATGCGCAAAATAAAATTTTGAAACTGGAGCTAGATTTTCCTTTATTCCAAGTGCCTATGTATCAAATTTCGTTTAAATTCTTCCATAAATAAAAAAGTTGGCACTGCGCATGCGCAAAACCAAATTTTGAAATTGGCGTTTGATTTTCTTTTATCCCAGGTGCCTATGTATCAAATTTCGTTTAAATTCTTCCATAAATAAAAAAGTTGGCACTGCGCATGCGCAAAACCAAATTTTGAAATTGGCGTTTGATTTTCCTTTATCCCAAGTGCCTATGAACTTGACTAGTACCTAGTTTATGAAATCTCATACATTGGTCATTAGTCTCGTCATTAGTGTTGTCGGTGACCATTCAAACATTCCATAATACAATATGTACAATATGTACAATATGCAGGTTGCCCAAAGAAGTTTTTTGACGAGATGAATTTTTAAAATCTAAAAAGTAAAATTAAAAAAAAAAAACTGGATAAGAACTACACACGACAGAAGAGAAACTTCCCTAGTTTGAAATGTAAACACATCTCATATAAATGTAGGTTATTATTCCACATTTACATTTACTCACAAGGCGGCGCATTGCCTGAGAAAGATTCCCCTTCCAGCGTTTCATGTGTTGCCCCGCCCGTGCTCCGACTTCCACTGTGCTGTGCGGGTATGAGGAGTGGGGGAACCTGTGCTCTTATTCCCCTCCGAGCGTTTCACTGTTTTCGTGATCGTGACCGCTCGTAGCATTGGACTTACCCCATCTGACGTACTACCGGGTCTAAAGAACCCTCACCTTCAAAATAAAAAAAATCTCACAAATTAGGCTCTTAGTGTCCCGTGTCCGTCAGCGAAGTGGGCATTGTCGGCGTTGTGCCCCTTGCACACTTGTCGATGATGTGGGCACGGTCGGCGTAGTGTCCCTTGTCGGCGATATGGACCATCAAAATATCGTGTCGGCGTTGTGGGCATTCGGCGAAGTATCCTACACTCCCGCAGTCGAGCTTCCGCACCACTGCGCCACTCAATTCTGTCCAGTCAGTCGCTTCGTTGGCTATTCCCTCGGTTATTCTGTCATTGGTGCAGCACAAAAACGTCAGTATCACTGGTCACGTCATAGCTTGACCAAAGCATAAAAAATAATAGACATCTAATTTTTTACATACCTACCTACTTTGATACCGCAACGCACTAAAGTGGCGATTTTCCTTGGCGCTCGTCCGTCTGCCTGTCTGTGCACGATAAAGCTTTTACCGGATTTTCGGTATGTTTTAGCTTATGCTTTCTGATTCTCCACTGTATACTTTATGTGAGTGTTCCGGACTGTGACCCCAAAATGCTATCCGTATTTTAGCCTGCCCTCAAAGTTGGCATAATATATCATCTTCAGTGTACTGACATTTAGGTACTGCTTCATTACCCTCATCGAGTACACCACCGAATTAAGTTTTGAACTTAAATGCTGGATATGCTTGGTCCATTTCAGATTATCTGGGAAGGTGATCCCTATGACTATGATTACCTACCATGTTCGCATATGACTGACCCAGTTTGAAAAGAACACACATTGTTTTATTCTTATTTACTTAGTAATAGTTTATTATTGATGAAATATTGTTGTACTTTTTCCATTGCACGTTCTGCCTTATTCTCGAGTTCCTCATGCTTATACGAGTGTAGTACGATGTTGGTATCGTCAGCATAATTAATTATACTTCCAATGCCATTGACAGTTTTATTTATGTCGTTTATTAGGATGGCAAAGAGCAAGGGCCCAATAACACTGCCTTGCGCTATTCCAACATTGATTGCTGCTAAAGGTGACACTCACACCTCAGGTTTCTTTCAATTGTTACCATTTGTTTACGGTCACTTATGAAAGATTGCATCCATTTATGCGCGACACCTTTTAACTTAATCCCATACTTATCAAGTTTTCGTAGCAACACTTCATGATCGACTACTAGATCATAAGCTTTAGACAAATCTAAAAATAGTCCCAATGTTTTTTCTCCATGTTCAAACAAACGTAGTACGCTGTTTTCCAAGTCAAAAGCAGACGTTATTACGGAACGTCCCTTAAGGTAGCCATATGTTGGGACGAAGAGAATAGTTTTTTTCTTTTCAAAGTAAGTAGCAATGCGATTATACATGACACGTTCAAATATTTTAGAAAAGGTCGGTAGGATGCTTATGGGACGGTAATTATCCATCGAATTAGGATCTCCTCCCTTGGGTACAGGTTTGAATACGGCCGTCTTGAGAGATTCCATATGTTATTGAATTGTTGATAATGTATTGTAGTGGGTCGCATAATTCTTGAATGCAGCTCTTGATCACATGGGTCGGGATTCCATCATATCCCACGACGCTTTGTTCTTAATCAATTGAATAATATCTATAAGTAATTTCCAATTTGGAGTACCCAGTATATTTATGTACAAGTAAAATATCACCACAGTCCACTAAAGCCTTCAGTATAAGTAGATGAGCAAAGGGACTTCTGGATCAGGAAGTGACGTCAAACCAATCAGAATCGAGTATTGTGGTCACGTGGTCACGTGTGAGCCAATGAGAGCGCGTGAGTCGGCCATTTTGTGACGTCACATTTTGCGTGTTTTGCTTCCGGTGTTTCTGGATCAGGAAACGCGTCACACCAATCAGAATCGAGTATTTCGGTCGGCCATTTTGTTTACGTCACATTTTGGGTTGGATCAGGAAACGCGTCACACCAATCAGAATCGAGTATTTCGGTCGGTCATTTTGTTTACGTCACATTTTGGGTTGGATCAGGAAACGCGTCACACCAATCAGAATGCAGTATCGGCCATTTTGTTTACGTCATATCTAGGTTTCCCGCGTTTATTTCTGGACCAGGAAACGCATACTGCTGATTAGGATATCCTGTTTACAACACCGGATGCTGCTTCCTGTTGACGTGACCGGACGCTGCTTCCTGTTCCCGCCATTTACGTTTCCTGCTGATTAGAATTTACCGGATGCTGCTTCCTGTTGACGTGACCGGACGCTGCTTCCTGTTCCCGCCATTTACGTTTCCTGCTGATTAGAATTTACCGGATGCTGCTTCCTGCCGATAACCGGATGTTGCTTCCTGTTCCCGCCATTTACGTGTATTCGATTCCGCAGCTCACAATCTCTTTGAAATACGGTTGGAATCTTGATCCATATTTTCAATAAGTCATTTACACTTAAACTTAACAATTCGCTCTTCGTCTCAATATAATTAGACTCCTTTTGAGCCTCTCGCCTAGCGATGTTGCGCAAGATTATTATAAATGGGAGACGTATTAACCTATAACGAGGTGATGGTGGGTCGCTGTAGAGGTGCAGGGTAGTAAAAGAAATATTTCAAAGGTTCATCAATAATGGTTAACACCTTTATTCATATTTCAAATTAGGGTTATGTAATTATTTGTAAATTCGTTGTTGAGCCTACCGCTCCTATACTAGATATAAATACAACTTTATTTGTTACGGTCAACTTGAGGAACTCCAGCCGATTTTCTTCTGTGAGGTATGTATGGTAACGCTGCGGCAGTATGCACTTGAAGGTCTCGGTTTCGACCATAATTCGATCTCCAAACTTGGTGCCGATTACGCCGATATCAGTAATTGGGTATTTATTTCCGATTTCCAGATCTTTTGCATTTATGAATGGCTTACAATAGGTAGATGAGTTCAAGGAGGCGAAATCAAATTCTTCCATTATTATGAGCAGTAAATATCTGTAACAAATAAATAAGTGAAAAAATGAATAATCTAACCGCTACTTAACAAAATTAGTCATTAAAATCATACTCACCAAATAACGCCGCAAACTAGTTCGCACGAATCACTGACTGAGACGTTAACTGCACTCGGCTTTTATTTCAATTTTCTATCTAATCATAGCGGATGCAGCATCCTGGCAGTGTTTCTAGAAATTTCTGAGCGGAAGCAGCATCCCGTCTCTTATCTACATCGAAATGTATTTAAGCTGACGCATTTCAATTAAGTCATTGCATTTGTATGTGTATGTGTATGTGAGCAGACTGTCTCAACTACTACTTCAAAGCAGAAATCCTCTTTTAAGCAGCGAAAATCAGGTAAGAGCGTTTTATCTTAAATAAAACTTTCGGTATTTTAATGTAGATATTCTAGGAAAAATGGCTTATATTTTAGACAATGTGAATACAACGCTTGAAATGATTGCCCATTTCTATAAAAACTATAATCTTGGCTCTGCTAGCAAGGTTCCAAAATTCATCAACATCATCGATGCTAATCTTAGGCAAATCCAATCTTCGCTAGCAGAGCCGCTAACGGTTGGAGATAAACGGCACCTTGCAGCTGTGGCTGGTAAAATGGAACGCTACAAGGTGCTTATTAACCAGTTGGGGAAGTCTATTGCCGGCTCCTCCCTAGGTAGAAGACCGCTGGTGGAATGGCGAGATTTGGCTACCGCATTTAAATCGCGTGTGAGTACCGGTATTATTATCAATCTAGGACATAAGACTTTAGGATCATTTTTTAACGATAGCTGTAAGTTATTTATCACTAAGATTAGAGACATCTATCCCAAATATAATAGCCCGCTGAAAACAAATTTTGAGTTTTGCGCGGAATTTGTAAAGCCCTCGTTGAATAAGAATGATGAAGCACTAGCATGTAGGGAATTTAGTTTTTTAACTAAGAATTTTACTATTTTATCTAGCGATTTAAGTGAAGCTAACTTGAAGCAATTATTTAATAATAACGCGGTGGATTATTTGATGGAGCGCTTAATGCAATTTGAGGAACAGGACAGTGGGTGGGGGTTGTCCAAGATAATTTCGTTGACTGTGAACGTAAACAGTGTGACTTTAATGCACGCCTCGTCTTTTATAGAATTACCTAAAGAAATTCAAGTTAAAAAAGCGGTCATCAATGTTAAAAATAATGATGAAGCGTGTTTTGGATGGGCGTTGTCATCAGCCCTCTTCCCCGCTACCCTCAACACCAATCGTATCTCTTCTTATCCATATTATGCGCAAATCTTAAATTTTGATGGTATTAGCTTCCCCATGTCTTTAGACCAACTCCAAAAATTTTTAAAACAAAATCCAAATTTATCTATCAATATTTACGGCCTTACTAGAAAAACGCAATCCGATTATGTCACTGTTCCTATTTATCTTAACACCGAAAAGAAAGCGAATCACGTTAATTTACTCATGATCCAGCAGAATTATGAAATTGAAAAGGATATTGAGAATAATGCTACCGCTCACAATAGTGAGGAACCCGATGAAGCGGTTCGATTTCATTTCTGCTGGATCAAAGATTTGTCGAGATTGGTACGTTCACAGTTGACGAAGGGACATGGAAAGCTGTATATTTGCGATAGGTGTCTCCACTATTTTAGCTCACCAGATAAACTTAATGCACATGAGTTAGATTGTAAGTTAGTTAATAAGTGTAAAATAAATATGCCAGAGCCCGGTTCACATGTATATTTCAAGAACCATGAATTCAAACAGACCGCTCCTTTCATCATTTATTGTGATTTGGAATGTTTGGTACAAGATTTTCAGGATGATGAGACGCAAAACACCGTAAAGTATAAGCAGCATAACGTATGTAGCATTGCATATTATTTGCATTGCACCTTTGATAATTCATTGTCGAGGTTCCGCCTGCAGAGGGGTGAGCAATGTATTAATTGGTTTACCAGTGAACTTGAAGAAATTTCAAACAATTTACAACAATATTTCATTAATCCAGTGCAAATGGAACCGTTAAATGATTTGCAAATGTTGGGATATAATGCATCCACCTATTGTCATATTTGTGAAGGACCCATTTTACCGCCCCAGGTCAAAGTTCGCGATCACTGCCACTTTACAGGTCGGTTTCGCGGTAGTGCCCATCAGGCCTGCAATTTACGTTATAAAGTACCACATATGATACCCATATTTTTTCATAATTTTAGTGGATACGACAGTCATTTTATAATTAAGGATATTGCTCAAGCTATTCCTGGGAGAGTCACGCTGCTACCTAAGAATAAGGAGCGTTACATTTCATTTACTAAGAAAATGGAGAATGCAGATGTCGAATTCAGATTCGTAGATTCGTATCGCTTCATGAGCGAATCATTAGATAATCTAGCGTCCTATTTAAAGTTTGACGATTTCAAAATTTTGCGTAGCACGTTAAGCCATTTAAATGATGAGCAGTTGAAACTTTTAACTAAAAAGGGCGTGTATCCGTATGAATATATGGATAGTTGGGAAAAATTTAATGAAACCAATTTACCGGAAAAGATACAATTTTACAGCAAGTTGAGGCAGTCGCACATTTCAGATCAGGAATATTCGCATGCTAGAAACGTTTGGCGAAAATTTGACACTCAAAACTTGGGTCAATATAGCGAACTTTATCTGATGAGCGATGTGCTTATACTTGCAGATGTATTCACCAATTTTAGAGAAAAGTGCATAACAACGCATAAACTCGATCCAGCATTCTTTTTCACAGCGCCCGGATACACGTGGCAATGCATGCTGAATTACACCAAAGTTAAACTCGAGCTGCTCACAGATGTTGATATGATGTTGTTTGTTGAAAAAGGTATAAGGGGAGGCATAACGCAATGCTGTACGAAATACAGCAAGGCCAATAATAAATATCTGAATGGGAAGAATTACGATCCTACTAAACCCCCTACTCATATCATGTATATGGATATGGTTAACTTGTATGGGTGGGCTCAAAGCCAGTGTTTACCTTTAAATAATTTTAAGTGGCTTAGTGAGGCTAAATTAAAGTCATTAACTCCTGAAGCGATATTAAATACACCTGATGATGCGGTCGAAGGTCTCATTTTAGAGGTGGATTTATTGTATCCCAGGCAATTGCACGATCAACATAAATCCATTCCTTTCTGCGTTGAACACGACACTCCACCGGGCGCTAAAAATAAGAAATTGCTCGCAACCTTGCATTCAAAAACTAGATATGTTATTCACTATAGAAATTTAAAACAATGTCTTCAAGCAGGTCTCATCCTTGAAAGAGTTCACCGGGCTATTAACTTTAAACAATCTTGCTGGTTAAAACCATATATAGACTTGAACGCAAGGTTACGAGCGCAAGCCACTAACGCTTTTGAAAAAAATCTATATAAATTATTAAATAATGCAAATTTCGGAAAAACGATGGAGAATGTGCGGAACCATCGCATTATTAAGCTTGTTACCCGGTGGAGTGGTAGATACGGAGCCAATTATTATATATCCCAGCCCAATTTCCATAGCAGAGAGATCTTCGATGATGAATTATTGGCTATCGAGCTATCCAAAACAGAAATTCTATTTAATAAACCGCTATATGTTGGGATGGCAATATTGGAAATTTCGAAAACTAGAATGTACGATTTTCATTATAACTTTATGCATCATCAGTTTAGCGACGACCGCTTGAAATTGTTGTATATGGATACCGATAGCCTCGTGTACGAGATGGTATGTGATGATGCATACGAATTGATACGTGCAAATATTTCACGATTCGATACGTCTGATTATCCTGAAAACAACATCTATAATATCCCTAGATGTAATGGAAAAGTGCTAGGAATGATGAAGGATGAATTGGGCGGTAGAATCATAACCGATTGGGTGGCTTTGACATCTAAAATGTACAGTTATAAAACTATGGATAGCGACAATGATGTAATGAAATTAAAAGGTATTAGAGATTATATTGTAAAAAATAGACTAAGTTTCAATGATTATTTAGAATGTTTAAGGAGCGGGATTACTAAAAGTGTCACCCAAAGCAGCATCATATCAAAAAATCATCATGTATATAGTATGGAGCAGCATAAAATTGCTCTTAGTAACAACGATAATAAGAGGTATTTGATGCCAAATGGTATCGATACGCTGCCTTGGGGACATTATAGTATTCCCGCTGAAATGGACTTAGGATAAGTAATTAGGGAGTATGTTTGTAATTATAGGTATTTATTAGGACATGAAATTAAATGTATAATAGCTATTAATCATATGTATTCTTTGTAAATTACTTTATTAGGATAGGAAATCAAGTGCGTATGTTCATAATCATATTTATTCATTGTAAAATATAATAGCATGTGTACTTATAATAATAAAACACAAGTTATACAAAATCTGATTTTTTAATCCACGAGTCATGTGATTTATCCATGCCAAGCCATCGAACGTAGAGCAGGTCTCCTTTACGCCGTAACACTTTCTCAACAAGAAATATATCCGGATGAGCAGTTTTCTGCATTTCTTCCGCGTAGAATTGCCCCATTATTGGTTTACCAAATGAATCCTCCAATAAGTACGTAACGGGATTGCCAACTTTTACTTTAGCCACCTTGAATAATTCGGTAGAAAAGTTCGGAGTGTAGCCTTTTGAAAACACCGATTTATACTTGGATATTCGTACAAAGTCACCAATTTTGAATTTAGCTGCTCCCATTATCTTTATATTATGGAACATTGGTAAGTATGTCTTTGCGGCTACATCTTTAGGCTTCATCTTAATAGTCGAATGTCTCGTATTATTGTAGCCTAAAGTCACTTCCGCTAGCACATCAATCCATTTATATCTTCCGCGAAGACTGAACCGCTTATATAATGAATTTTTTAAAGTTTTTATCACTCTTTCAACTATGGTCGCTTTCTTTACGCTATACGTAGAGTAATGATTGATGGCATGTTTCAGCATTAATTTTTCAAAATCCTTATTATAGAATTCTTTTCCTTGATCGGTTTGTAAATTGACTGGCACTCTTCCTTCGCATATAATAGCAGTCATGTTTTTGCTCACTTCACTAGCACTCTTCGATTTTAGGGGTCGCGTCCATAGGTATTTGGAGTAGCAATCAATTACGGTTAATATATATTTATAACCTCGATTATCTTTAGAATATCGGGTGAATTCGGCCAAATCAGCTTGCCATAGGTCATCACGATGCTTGATTATCGTTCTTTTTCGGGGAAAATTTTTTCTCGCCGATCTGTGCAATTCCTCGACGACGTCGAGCTTCGTCATCTTCCAAATCACTACCGATAAATGGCGGAGATTCACGCATAGTCAATTCGGCAAAGTCCGTCACCGGACTCATCCCTAGTTTTTCGCGAATTTCATCCAAGTTTCGCTCCATTTCATGCATGACATTCATATGACCATCGGTGATTGACTTAAACGATTTTACAAACATGTGTAGGTATCCATTTGTTACGGCATCGCCATCGTTCACCGGATCAGCTAGATGGGTTAGCCGATTACCACGCATATCATATTGTTGGCTTGCGGCGTTCCGAGTACTATTATCCACATATTGTTTTGTAGCAACATCGCTACCCTTAGCAGGATCGGCAACATTACATATTCTCTTGTTTTGCATATCATAATCATTAGCGGCGGTAAATTGCAAGGTATTCTGTTCGTTATATAATCTTGAGGACGAATGTCTTCCGAATTTGTCAACGCTCATTTTCGGACTAAGCGATTATACCTTCTTCTCGGAGCTCCTCTTCAATGCTTAAAATCTCGTTGTTGTGTCCGGTATGACCGGCTGCTTGCGATGCGTGTAACAGTCTGAGACGCTCGACTAGTTCGTAGGGAGTATTCCAATACACGTACTCCTTCTGTTTATTATTAACCTCCTTCACACCTGCTCCAAAATGTTCCGATAGTAGCGGCTTCACGATCTTAACGTATTTATGCGACTTAGTACCCATGATTTGTTGTCTAGGGTCGTAGTTCCTTTTGTATGCGTTAGTAGCTAATAAAATATCTTTATACGATTGACTATCCTTGAAGGAGTAATTATGTGGCTTTTTGAGCACGAGCAATTCATATAGCCCAGGAGTGCCGGTATAAAGTGTATTTTTTATGTTTATATCGGGTCCTTCAAACTGCACTATAGAATCTCCTATAGCCCACTCTTTGAATTCGGAATCGTATCGAAGTCCGTGAACGTGATCGACCTCTCCCATCGCATCCTTAATCATCCGATCGATATAATGACGAGGTAAATGATGATACTGGTCTAAAAATTGCTGATCATCATGTAGCTGTGATAAGTTGCTAATCGATCTAGTAGTTTCCTCCGCTTCATCGTTTTCTTCTTCGTCAAGCGCTATTTCGCTAATATCGGGCGGAAAACTAATTCGTTTACGAACTGCAGTATTTTCGGTGCGTCTAGGCGTTGCAAATTGTTCTTGCATTGGAGTTGATTCATATTCAATTTTATTTTCAACTTTTGGCGTTAACGCTTGTTTTTTCAACTCCTGCTTAGCTAGCGTCTTCAATGGGTCAACTATAGGCTTATAAGTCTCTTCCACTAATCGCAATGTTTCGGTTTCGCCTCTTTTAAGAGCCGCAAGCTTGCGTTTTATTTCGCTACGGGTTTTAGTTAATTTTCTTTTAATTGCCTGATCTTGCGCGTTCATCTTAACGGCCCGCATACAATCAACTAAACTGATTATCGATGAAAAGTGCTTCTAATAGCAGTCCAAAGGCGGTTCATATCGGTGCAAAAACGGTTCGTAGCAATCAAAAGCTGTTCAATAGCGGTCCAACATCGGTTCAAAGCTGTCCAAAACCGGTTCAAAACAGCTCGAAAGCGGTTCATAAGCGGTTCAGAGGCGGTCCAAAGGCGGTTCATAGCGGTCCAATATCGGTTCACAGCTGTCCAAAACCGGTTCAAAGCAGTTCTAAAGCGGTTCATAAGCGGTTCAGAGGCGGTCCAAAGGCGGTTCATAGCGGTCCAATATCGGTTCACAGCTGTCCAAAACCGGTTCAAAGCAGTTCTAAAGCGGTTCATAAGCGGTTCAGAGGCGGTCCAACATCGGTTCAAAGCTACCCACACCGGCTCAATGATGTTGTTCAAAAGTAGTTCAAAGTTGTCCAAGTGTGATATAACAATCAAAACCTCGTCGATATCGGCCATAATCAAAGTCCTTTACAATACACATGAAATCGTGCTTATGCATCCAACACTTTGAGCCCATTAATTTAAACTGCTCAAAGGTCATGTCGCTACCAACATGCTCATCATATACATGTTTCAAATTTATATAGTCTTGCTTAAATAGGACAATAACGTTTACATTATCGCGTATTAGCTGCTTAGGTATTTTGGAATATGTCTGACAAAGATAGAACGAGTCCACACCAGAATGTCGTCCTCTGCAGAAATAATCCCTAATTATATCTTGATTTAGACACGCAACATCGTCAAATATCATTATCGAATTTTTGCTAATCTCCTCTAGAGTTATTACGTCATCCTTATCACTATAAGCATTATACTTAATGCCTTTAATGGGTTTAAGTACTTGTTCCAGATATTTATACTTCGGCTGCTCTAACGACTTGGAGTATACATATACATTTTCAAACTTCAGACCATTCGCTGCTTCTAATAAACTTATCATCGCATTCGTTTTTCCGGATCCCGATGGTCCACAGATGACCGCTCTAATTGAAGCCGGAAATAATGAGCCGTGTTTCCCCGACACTTCCGATTCAGTATACAAATCATGATCCTCAACATGCAATTGCTGAGGTTGCTTCATAAACTTCATTATTACTCGATAGTTTGAGTTATACTGATCAGTTCATGGCCGATCGCCGAGTAGGAAAGGGGTTTATAAACACCTTGATAAACAAATTGCCGGTGGAACTTCATATCCCCGGATATCAATACTGCGGACCGGGAACCAAACTACAGCAGCGTCTAGCTCGGGGTGATCAAGGAATAAATCAGTTGGACGCTGCATGCAAGCAACACGACATCGCATACAATCAATTCAAAGACGTTGAGAATCGTCATCGGGCCGATAAAGAACTTCAAATTCGAGCTTGGGATCGTGTAAAGGCAAAGGACGCTAGTTTTGGAGAGAAAGCAGCAGCATTAGCCGTAGCTGGAGCAATGAAGGCCAAAAGGAAGCTTGGCATGGGAGTAACACGACGTATCGCAAAGCGCGGGAAAAAGAAGAAGACTTGTTCGTTTAGAGGCGGAGTTTTAACGCCAATTCGAAATTCAATAAAAGGCCTATCATCATCGGCAAACTTGAATAAACTTATCAAAATAAGTTTGTTGGCCGCCAAGAAAGCGGTTAAAGCTGCAGGCGGTAAGCAAAGAGTGAGAGTGCCGCGAGTGATACCAATACCTAAAGTCGGAGGTTTTCTTCCGTTCCTAGTACCGCTCTTTGCCGGTCTTTCAGCTGCGGGCGCAATGGCCGGTGGAGCTAGCGGTATAGCTAAAGCAATTAACGATGCGTCGGCCGCGAAGAAGCAGCTGGAGGAAAATAAACGGCATAACATGGCAATGGAGGCCGCCTCGTTGGGTAAACAAGGCAGTTCGCTGTATCTTCAACCGCGTAAGACTGGATACGCCTTATATTTAAAACCATATCCGGCAAAAAACTTTTAAATTTGCCGCGAAAAGCATTAACGGACTCGGATCTTGTAAAGTATGCGAAAGACGTACCCTTCTTCAGAGGAGTGTTTATGCGTGATAAATTACCGCGAAAACCCCATTTAAACGAGTGCGCTATCGTAAACCTGGATGATGCTAAAGGAAGAGGTACGCATTGGGTTGCTTTCAAGAAACGCGGCATGAAGGCAGTTTACTATGATAGCTTCGGCGACTTGACGCCACCAATAGAAATAGTTAAATATTTATCCGGATGCAAGTTAAATATTTATCCGGATGCAACATCATATACAATTATACTAGGGAGCAAAATTATAATACGCTGATATGTGGACATTTATGTTTAAATTTTCTGTATAATAAATAATAATTGAACCTAGAGTTTGTTTACTTCATCAGTCATGTCTCAAACGTTCACCTTAACAGGTGCCGGCAACGTCCTCAGCACCTCATATTTTCCGCCGATCGAACTAGACCGCAATTATCAATATGGATTAGGGTTGGTTGGCTTTTACGGCTGTAATTCTATACGCAATATATTTGAGGGAAACAACAAATTTTACTATGCAGCGGCCGATAGCATCTTCAAAGAGATTACCATTCCGAGTGGCGCGTATGAAATTGAAGAGATCAACAGGATTCTACAGCATCATATAAA